GCATTTTATTCCTTCTTTTGGCGTTTGCACAAGCAGAGAGCGGCAGCTATGTACGAAGTCAGCGGATTAGACCTGCTTCTCGGACAAATCATGAATCTACAAACAAGAAGAAGAATGGTGGAGCTCCAAACATTCAGTTTCAAACAGTGACTCGTTTAGACGGTAGTCAACCTACTCGCAGTGAGCCCAGATACCTCAAATTCAAATGGTAGAGGACCAGCGTCTTCTATTAGGAAGACTACGTGCAAATTGTTTTTGCAGGCAATACAGACACACAAGAACAGGTGCAATGAACCTTGACACCCAGTGTTTTGCGTACACATGATACGCTATGCCTTTCATTTTCTCGATAATCTACACCCTACATATATGCACTTTCTATAGGAATAAGCTAAATGATGAATCTAGGAGAGTATCTTGGCTTTGTTACTGGTGTACGATGTTGTTGTTGTTGCCCAAACAAGACGACGGGTTCTCGAATTAGTCGTGTTGTTTGTGACACGAAGCATCAAGAGAATTCCGTCACTTCCAACAGAATTTTTTTTTCACTTGTCACGGGGATGGCTCAAAAGTAGGTTTTTATGGGGGACGGACAAACAAGTACTGACTAAGTCTAAAACAGATGAAAACGGAACTTCAGAATGTACCATTTCGAGTTCTCAAAATCCCCCCAAAGCGCCTGTTGATATACAAGGAACCAAGTCAGATTCCTGTGCGTAGGATTCCGTTGTTCGCAGGGGATGGCTCAAAAGTAGGTTTTTATGGGGGACGGACAAACAAGTACTTACTAAGTCTAAAACAGATGAAAACGGAACTTCAGATGAATCTACCATTTCGAGTTCTCAAAATCCCCCCAAAGTGACTGTTGATATACAAGGAACCAAGTCAGATTCCTGTGCGTAGGATTCCGTTGTTCGTACTGGAAATCCCATACTATTACTTGTAAGTACCTTTTACCACGAAAATCTGTAGGGCCAAAAGTATGATGACTAAAATCTGTAGGGCCGGAAGTATGATCGATTTCCAAGTCTCATGAACGCTACAGCACTTTGAAGTCAGCAGAATATTTTGTGCTGAGTTGCAGCTCTAGATATTTGGAATGGATACACGCAGGGCACAGACAGAATGCAGGCTGAGGGACCGATTCAACGTTGAGTTCGAGTGGTAGTGATGCAAATGCTGTTACTGTACCTGTCAGAATGAAATTTTGCAGATGTTTCGTTGGGAAGTTATAGTCCATATACAGTTCCCCACTTGGAATATATGTTGTTGATCTGAGACGCTTGGTGTTGCTGTTGCTGTTGCTGTTGTTGTTGTTGAAAACCGTTTGAAACAGGAGATATTTGAAGCGGGGATTACCATGTTGGAAACGTGAGATTGTCATGTTTGACGGGATTACCATGTTTCAAGCCGGGAATACCATGTTTCAAGCCGGGAATACCATGTTTCAAGCGGGGAATACCATGTTTGAAACGTGTGACTGTCATGTTTGAACCGGGGAGTGTGAAATGGGGAATGTCAAACGAACAAGGATTGATTCTGTGACTGAAGCACTTTACTCTGTAGATCATTTGCACGGTCGGAGATCACCACCATCTTCTTTTATATAATAATATTGTTGTACCAGCTTGTATAGCAACAAAGGGTTGGCAAAGATCCACCAAGTTTCAATGGTTGCTGCTGCTAGTAAACAAATCAAGACACAAAGCACCACAATACCACAGGAATGCATATATCTAGATCTTTTAATGAAAGCTATCATTTGTCTCAAAGAGTAGTTTGACCGAACATCTTGATGACCTTCTGCATTGCTGCCCACTCCTCTGGGCTCATTTGGGGAACAAAGCCAGGGGCAGCTGTTGCGGCAGTGGTGGTAGCTTCAGTCGGGATCTCAATCTGCATATCCTCAAAGCCGGTGTTGATGTACTGGCCGCTAACGCTGGCAGTGGACCGTGTAGTGCTAGACCTTGCAGGTGAATTCTGCTTAGACTTGATAACTGGTGGGAGTCTGTTTGCCTTCATCGAACTAAGGGTTCTTACACAGAATGAAACTGTCTGTTCAACTGTGTCCAAGGTGTAGCTATCTTGATGACGGCCATGACGATCAACAAAGAAAGGGGCCATTTCCTCACCAAACTGGAGCAATGGATCATCATCCACTTTTTCCCATTCATTCATTTCTTTTTTCATCCTGCGGATTTTGGCTTCCGCCGATGCATACAACAAATTGTTCTGATCGACTGCTCCATTGAGGAGTTCTGATGCATCTTTTGGGATGCGTTTCAATAGCTTCTTCTCAATGAATTTACCATCCAGTGAAATTGTGATCTCCATAGAATCATCAAACCTGACCAGAGGATACACAGTGCAGTGGAGGACGTCGTTTGGGAGTTTAAAGCAAATGCTTTTGCCAAACTTGTTCTTTTTGGCATGAGGGATTTTTAGAGGCTCGTCAAGGGTCATTTCTTCAGTGTCTGTAGAATCATCAGCGATGTCAATATTAGTATCAAGTTTATCACCAGGAGGATCTATTCCATATGCAATGCGATAGCAATTATCAAGATAGCTACACCTTGGGAAATTCATTCTGTGAGACAACTCTCAGACTCCCTTTGCAGCTATCAAATTGAAACAAAACTAACCTGCAAGGTCTACCACTGACCCTATGTTGCTATACAAGCTGGTACAACAATATTATTATAAATGAAAGAAGATGGTGGTGATCGCCGACCGTGGAATCAGTCACAGAATCAATCCTTGTTAGTTTGACATTCCCCATTTCACATTCCCTGCTTCAAACACACGTTTCAAACATCGTATTCCCCGCTTGAAACATGGTATTCCCCGCTTGAAACATGACAGTCTCACGTTTCAAACATGGTATTCCCCGCTTGAAACATGGTATTCCCCGCTTGAAACATGGTATTCCTCACTTGAAACATGACAGTCTCACGTTTCAAACATGGTATTCCCCGCTTGAAACATGGTATTCCCCGCTTGAAACATGACAGTCTCACGTTTCAAACATGACACTCCCTTTTTTCAAACATGATATTCCCTAGTTTCAAACATGATATTCCTGTTTATCTCCCTGATATCCAATAAGACATCCTCCAAGACAAAAACATCGACAACAACATCAAGCGTCCCAAATCAACAACAACAAAAAAACATTAAACTAGAGCTCTATTTAATAACGAATACTTATCTGTTCTAGGAGTAGCTTCATTTATAATCTTGGTCTGCATATCCTCACAACTGCTGGTGCAACTTAGTTGCGAAATGATGAGCGATTGGCACCACTCCTCCTTTTGCTTTGAATGAATCCAAAGAGAAGATTTTTGTTGGCAGCGGTGAATAGAGGGCATTACGTTGATTCCCATGCAATTCATGTGGCATCCCAAGGCTGATTGTTGACAGTAGGGAACTGCATTTCCCTTGAAACGCATGGTGATTCATTCTTCCAGAACCACTTTACTCTGTAGATCATTTGCACTGTCGAAGAAAGAATATGCTGCTCTGCTTCACAAATAATGAAAATATGGTAGCATCACGCTAAGGGAGAAGGAAAAGCAGCGGCTCCGTCAGCAATCTATAATCCCCTTGAACATCAACCGGTCTAAACATCATTTTGTTCTTGCTGTTTTCCAAAAAAATACGATTTTTCTTAGAAATGACTGAAGTCTGTTGGGCCTAAAGTATGATGGGTACGTCAAAACCGTATCGTACTGGGTACGTCTGTTTCGGACCGTAAACGGAATCTTCCACTGACGAACCTAGAAAGAAAACTAGGGGAGGGAGGATCGTAAAAAAATACTTCCTCCCGTTTTTTGTAAGCTGGAGAATTCCTTTCTTATTTGGACGTCCTTGTTCGTCCGTCCCCCAAACAAATCCACTTTTGAGCCATCCCCACCTTTGATTATTCGACCGATCAATTTCGGAGTCAGTCGTGCCATTGGGAGGAGCCTAAACAATACCTTTTGCGCAACGCGGGTTTGGATCCTCACACATGACACATTGTGGGGGTGTTCGGGGTTCGGGAGATGCTCATAAAACCAAAAGATCGCATCCTGCGTTTTTGTAGGTAGAATCATGAAGACTCAAGATGCGGACGCCTTTGGGGTCTGTCCCATTACTAATGAGCCCTTTGTTGACCCTGTTGTGGACCACGAAGGTAACACATACGAAAAGAAAGCCATTGAAGAATGGCTGGAACAAAACTCCACCTCGCCCATCACCCGCAATCCATTGACTTTGGATCAACTCTTACCCAATCGTGCACTCAAGAATCTAATTGCCGAGTCTCAAGAAGAGGACGGATCTGTCAATAGTGCCAACACTTCGCCGACTGTGTCTGATGACAAAGCTGACTTTGAAAACCAAGAAGCCTTGATGGAACTTGCAAAGACAGCTCGAGTCCAAAGCATTATCTCTGGACCAGACGGGTTGGGCGCAGTAAAGATCATAGTTCCAGATGACAAGTCGGAGCGTCGCTTGCCAGCTTCCATTATATGCGTCATCGACGAGAGCTATAGTATGGACGATGCAGCTACTACTCAAGAAGATCAAGAGGGGAACTCGGGATTAAGTTTGATGGACATTGTGAAGCACGCCACCAAGACCGTGATTGAAATTCTAGGTCCCGAAGATTGCCTCGCCATTATAACCTATGCGGATAAAGCTACATTGCGATTGCCCTTTCTCAAGATGACCCGCGCCAATAAAAGCATGGCGACTAGGGTCGTCAATGAATTCAAGACTAGGGGAAGCACAAATTTGTGGGACGGTCTCTTACAAGCAATGGAGCTAGCCAACAAAATGACCCAGACTACTGATGTCTTTCTACTGACGGATGGTGTTCCCAACATTCATCCACCACGAGGCGAGCTTGAGACCTTCACCCGCTACAAGACAAAGACTCCAAAATGCAACTACCGAATCTCTACTTTTGGTTTTGGATACTGTCTGGACAGCAAGCTATTGAACGACCTTGCGATTGAAGGTGATGGGCAATTCTTTTTTATTCCCGATTCATCATTTGTTGGCACTGTTTTCATTAATGCCACTTCCTTTGTGGTGAGTACTGCTCTGGGGAAAAGTACACTGGTCTTCGAAGAGAACGGGGTAGCAAGAATCCATATGAACAAAGACGAAGAGACAACGCCACCTCAGCAGCAAGCAAAATCTCTACCAAGTTTGTCGTTTGGGCATACTTTGGACCTAATCGTTGAGAAAGAGGACCATGGGGCGGGCATCAGCTGGGACGCTCCAGCGAGTTCACTTGACTGGGAAGTACCCAGGCTTCGGCATGCCATGGTGGAATTAATTCGAAGTGCCGAGGAACGTTTCACTAAGAAGGAAGGCAATGCTTTGCAGGTTGCTCAACAGGAGATCACAAAGCTTGTTGTCGAATTCGATTTGGCTCTTGAAGAATCAGTCAATGTTGAATCAAATAGTCGCACGATCTTGAAGGCAATTCGTGAAGATTTGACAGGCCAGATCACAGAGGCATACAGTCGCGCTGATTGGTACAATAAGTGGGGAAAACACTATCTTTTATCCCTTGCTCGGGCACACGAGTTGCAGCGATGCACTAACTTCAAAGACCCTGGCCTTCAAATTTATGCCACCTCAAAATTTGGAATGATTCGCGATGAAGCAGAAGAAATCTTTTGCAAGATCCCGCCACCAACGCCATCTCGAAGAGTTGAAAGCAGCCGTTTTCGGCCTGTTGCATCCATGTCTACGTACTATAATGCAGCGGCTGGGTGCTTGGCTCGAGGCAGTGTTCGTATGGTAGATGGCCGCTTCGTGCCAGTAAGCTCAGTGTGCCCCGGTGATACTCTCCAGCTAGGTTCAAGAGCAGTGAAGGTGCGTTGCGTTGTCACTACAGAATGTGACAATGGGGTGGAAGAGTTGGTGGAGCTTGAAGGTGGCGTCTTGGTCACACCATGGCATCCAATCCGAAAGAAAGGATCTATGAAGTGGGAATTTCCTGCCAACTTGGGCACGGCAAAGCTCTATTCTTGCAAGATGGTCTACAACTTCGTTTTGTACAGTGACTGTGCTGTGCCCTTGGGTCCTTATCAAGCAATCGCCCTTGGACATGGCATCTCTGATCCCGTTGCCAAACATGCGTACTTTGGATCTAGTAAGGTCGTCCAAGACCTCCGGTCCATGTACGGTTGGAATCAAGGTCGCGTCCACTTGGGAACCAACCCAGGAAGGCGAGATCCTGAAACTGGACAAGTTAGTGGCTTTGTCCAGAACATCAATGTTTGGGAAAGTAACGGCGCTGAAAATTCTGAAGCACCCAATTGTCACCAGATGCTGTGTTCAGACCGTGTTTCTGCCTGATTCCTTTTTTTGTATGAGTGAAAACCAACCTAGTAGCCGCTTCGCATATGTATTGGTCAAATTTAAAAAATTATTGATCCTTGCCTATTTTTGATCATCTCATTTTTGCACACTTCAAAATCAGGCCATCGTCCTTGCAGAGATTGAAGTTTGCGTTGGTCCCTTTCCATGCGATGGGCGGACTCTTGAGATGCACAGGAGACCTACTTTCGTTGACGAAGCCATCCTTGCCACAGATGAATCGATATATTCTTCGACAAAGTCTACCAAATCGTCCGAAGTAAAACTCACGCCGCTAAACGATTCGGCTTCGGTTTACATGACGCAGTACGAGGAAGTGGTCAACTTCCACTCTTTTGGGGGATTTGAAACCAAGGTTTAGGATCAGGACTTTTGGACATTTCCTTATCTGCCATCCCTCGAATGAGGCTCAGTGTCTTGGTTGAATATTGCTGTAAACCGGGATCTTTGAAATTTGTCGTTCGTTGTAGCTCGTGACCCCTGATGAGGGATAGGACGTAGTGTCTTCCCCAAATGGTGTGCCAGTCTTCTCGACTATATGCTTTCGTCACGTTGTCAGTCAAATCAGCTTCTATGGCTCGCAAACGAACAGCATATTCGTCGCTCGCTAGAAATGCGGCCTTTTGCGACACATTATTAACTTCGCCGATCAGTTTTTGGCATTCTTTCTGAGCCAAAGACAAAGCATTGGGGTCATTTGCGTGGAAGCGTTCTTCTGCATTTTGAACCATTGACACCAGCCTTCCTCGCAGTCGGGCTATTTCAATGTCAAGCGTGGTTACGAAGTCTGCTTTCCCTCCAAGCAACCCATCCAGTTCGCGACATTTGGAGTAGACAGATATATCGTTGCTTACAAGCACATCTATAGTCTGACCATAAGAAAGACTAGGAATTTGTATGCAGAGTTGCGATGGATTCTCAGCCTCCGCATCAAAGCTGTCGTCAATCCATGGATTTCTGTGTTTATCATCGAAATACAGGAAACTTGAGTAGATCGCTGTGCTCAGTATATTCGCTGTCGCGCTCATGAAAACAGTGCCGGCGAAAGATTTGTCTGGTAGAAAGCAGAATTGTCCGTCGCCTTCTGATGCCAGGGAATACAGAAGTCGACTATCAATGTTGTATCCAAAACCGAAAGTAGATAACCGACATCTCCATTGCAAGTGCTTTTGCTTTAAGCGAATGAAGCTTTCAGCTTCTCCACGTGGAGGGTGGATATCTGGAACACTGTCGGTTAAGACCAAAATTTCTGCCGCTTTTCCGGTAGCCGTCTTAATTGCTTGCAAGAGTCCACCCCAAAGATTGGACTTGCCGGTCGGTTCGAGAGTCTCCAGTAGACGGAGGGCTGAAGGCTTATTCTCCGCGGTCATTTTCGTAAACGGCAAAAGAACTGCACCCTCGTTGGAATATGTCACAATGGATAGCTGGTCATTCTGACCTAGAGTTTTCACTACTTTCCTTGCAGCATACTTGATGATGTGCAAACAGGAAGGTTGATCACCTGGATCACTGATGTCGAGGACACAAATGATAGAAGCAGGGACTTGGTTTTCAGCAGAAAAATCAGGGACCTTTATCCGCACAATACCAAGATGATCCCGTTTTCGAATGGCTGCCTGAATCTTGAGCTTGCAAGCCAATCGAGACGGCAGGTTATCCACGTCATCGTCCTCTCCATCTGAACCATGTAATGGCAGCTCTACCGTTGTTGGTACTGACTGGTCTGCCTCGTCTTTATGCTTGCGGAAACGCATTCCAATTCCAAAGCAAGAGTTTCAAAATGGATTACGTATAGTTGAATGCGTTGTTTTTCAGTTCCATATTCCTGCTTTTAAGTTATTTTTTCAAGGGACTAACGAAGAGAGAGTGTCCGTCATTCGTACGTTTAGCTAGTTTAACCTCTAGAGATTCGTAGTGACACGTGGTATCCATACTACGCTTGTCAACGAAGTATACGCTCGAACAAAGGTGTCGCCAGAATATAAGGATGGCGAGGATCCCACGGCAGCTATCGAACATGCAACGGAAGTTTTGATGAAGGATTTTGATGCGGCTCTCTCTCGTGCTATTGGCCAACCAGGAGTTGGGGAAAAGGAAAATATATTTCCATTTTTTCCGCGCGCCGGCGTTGCCAAATGGCTTATTTTCCCTTTCCACCTGTCGTCTCCAAAGTGTGTGGGAAAATATTTTACGGGAAAACTGCACCCATCCCTCCAAGTATATTCGACAACACATATCTTTTCATGTCCGTTGCTGTCATCATCTCAACTCCAATGATCATGTAACAGTCCGCGGTTTTCTTGAACCCATCATGCCTCTCTCCAGCCGTATCTCACAAACTGCAACTCCTTGAAAGCAATTGCTGCTGGTGCAAGGATGAGCAAAACTGAAGCTGCGTTCAAAGCAAAAGTCAAAGGATGGCAGTATTACCTTATTGTAAGCGCCTACTTGGCAGTTTCTGAGCAGCCTGAGAGCAAACTTTCAGCGTTGGAAAAGAAGATTTTGTATGAATTCAGGATGTTGGTTGCCGAGACGACCGAAATGAACGAGAGACTGAAGGATGAAGTCCGCAAAGGCAACGAGAACAAGCCTCTCGACGGCGCCAAAATATTTAGCAGAGCCAAGGACTACAAAAGTGAAATCACCAATGTTGTCGTTCCTCTGTGGAACTCACACTGTACTCCAAGTGGTACTTCGTCCCAGGAGCAATCGTTCGAACTCCTCAGAACAAAGTATTGGTTGGTGAAGAAGACGGAAGCGTACAAGGAGAAGGTGAAGAAGATTCTCAAGAAGGATCCCAATGCCGTCATTAAGTTTGCAAAGCCTGTCATCGAAGATTGCCCAAATGGATATGCACATCCCATCCTTTTTGTATTCAAGAGGCTGTTTGAGGAGAAGCGTCCCTTGAAGTTTACCACGCCAGATGCAAAAGGTAAGAACGGGACTCTGCGTAGCAAAACCCCCAACCGGAAACAGCAGCTTAAGAAGGAGGCAGAGTATAAGAAGAGCCTCAAGATGGGTACAACGGACGCCAAGGTCAAAGCTTATACTGAACAATCTTCTAAGAAGCTCAAGATTGCATATGAGCAGACCTTGACTGGGAAGCTTACAGCTCGAACAAAGGTTGCCCAGTTAGCACGTGACGCTGGCTTGGAGGTCGGCGACAAACTCCTTAAGCGACTTGCAGAGGAGGCGCTTAGATCTTTCGAGCGAGAGATCATTGATATGGAGGAGGTAGAGAAGGAAGAGCGCGCCAAATTGGCAAAGAAGAAATTATCCACAGCTTCCAAAGAGAACTTGAACGGAGATACTACGAGTAGTGATGATGATGATGATCTAGGAGAACCAAGCCCTTTCGCTGCTGGGCATCGAAAGAAGAGCCCCTCAATGATAGACCAGGTTAATGATTTCGATAGTGACGATGACGAATCTTCAAAGAAGCAACCTGCAAACAAGGAACCTATCGAGATTGATGGTGATGACGACGACGAGGAGGAAGACATCTATAGCTAAGGAATGTAGAGTCTAGTATCTGTGTTATAGTGAAATGTGATATCGAATTGACCATCTATACTATGATTGCTTCAATGCCATGTAATGTTCTGTCAATGCCTCTCTGCGATGATGAAAGTCCGCTTCTGAGAAATCCTGACACCATTCGTCGTTCGTCTGACGATCTCCAATCTCCCCATCTTTAAGAGTAGTATCTCGTCCGGCCTCTCGCATGTAGGAGGGTGCCTTTTTTGTGTATTGACCATCATTCAAAGTCTCGACATCCACCAATTCTTCATCAAACTCCTCTTCCCAGTCATCATACCCATCAAATTCGAGGAGCATATTGTGAAGGATGCAACATGTTCGGAACACCTTTCCAATGGTTTCAATGTCTCGAAGTCGATTGGCGTACTTGAGTACCATAAACCGCTTCTTGAGAATTCCAAAGACGCATTCAACATCTTTTCGAAGCGACTCGATCCATTTGCTCCATATCATTACTGCCGTGCCATCCTGCTGACACTTGAATGGACACATGAGAATCTTCCATTGGTGGTAGCCACCGTCACAAATAAGATGAAGACCCTCTTCCTCATGCTCATTGCCGTCACTATCCACCCAGCACCATTTCTGGGTAGATAGGTGACCACCAGGCATGAGAGCTCTTAAATTCTCGTCAAGCCGGGCTATTGTTTTGTCATTCCATGTTCCAAAGTATGGGCCGGAAACACCAAGGAATTTCTTGGTATGAGAAGAGATAACTTGAAAAACCACAGTGTTGTACTTCTCCTTTCCTTTACAGTCGGTTCGGATACCAGCCGGGCACATGTCCCAAGAAACGTGAAAACAGTCAACACTTCCTCCAGTGCCAGGGACGCCCTTCCTCTTGTAGTTCCCAGTAACATGTGCGATCTCCTCGTCAGATTCAGGCATCTTCAAATATTCTTTGGCGAGTGGACATTTGCTGGGATCACTAAACCAAGTGATGAACTCATGAAAATAGTTCTGATGCTTCTGTCCACTAATGTCTGAGAGTTCCTCTAGGGAGTCAAACGGTATGACTTGCCCAAGGTACCGCAGAACTCCCATGATTAGCATTCTTGAGTCGCTTTTGGGACGATTGAATGCATCTACCTCCCTTCGTGTGTCAACTTTGTCGTATTCCTGACAGATCTTGTCGAAAAGTACGTACGGGAGACGATATCTTCGGCGGAATGTTTTGCCATGCCTGTTTTCTTCATCCCAAACAGAGCCTTTCGTTTGAGCGTTGAGATCTGCTTTCTTCAGGATTTTCCCAAAGTAGGAGGTACTGGGGTCTCGCTTCTCTTCTCGTCCTCTGGGAGTTTGTCTTCGGCGGCGCCCATTTTCGTCAATGGCACCACTTTCATCAAATAAATCAAAAGGATCATTGGGGTTCATGCCGAGGAAGACACGTGCGTCAAGATCATCAGAATCTTCCATAGATTCACGTCAAAGAGGAAAGCAACGTCCTCGTTCTCATCGCCTAGGGAACCAAATTCTTCTACTTGCATGCTTCAATAGTAGGGATCTATAGATTTATATGACAAGCATGATGTTGGTGACTTGTCATGCCGCCAAGCAGTTGGAATGGTTTGCATTGGAGTGATTTGCAATTGGAGTCTTTTCCATTCAATGGATCGTAATGATTTGATTGGACAATGACTGTCGTAGATGGTGGCGTAACAACTTTCCGAGAGACATTTCCCCCTGGCCCATCGCGCAGAAAACCAGCTTCTTACAATTCAAACGGGTCGTAGTAGATTCAATGATTGTGCCACCCGCAATGATCGGTCTACCCGCGAACACACAAACATTTAAGCGCGGATTGGCAATCCGCGCTTACATTTAGGCGCGGATTGCCGATGCGCTACTGGATAGCGCGGATTGCCAATGCGCTACTAAATTTAGCGCGGATTGCCAATTCGCTACTAAAGTAAGCGCGGATTGACAATCCGCGCTTAAATTTATTAAGAGCGGATTCGAGTAGAATGATTTCTCATAATTTTTGTACCCGCGCTACCCGCGCGGGTGAATCAGTTCAACGGATGTTTTCCATTTCTGACCGTGACTTGCTGGCGATAGACGAATGGAATGACTGGCGCGGACTGACATTTCTACGTCATGGGCCAGGGAAAAAGAATACGTTTTTCCCTTCGATTCGGGTGTGGGGAAAATATGTTTTTCCATTTATGGTGTTTTCCCGACACTATGGATTCAAACTTTTGCATTTGATACGGGAAAAAGGGGTAGTTTTTCCTTTTCCCCGGTCACTATGGTTTCGGCCTAAAATCCCCATGTTTGTCATCGTACTCGTTTTCGTCCCGAATCTCTCGTACCTCGCTACTCAATTTAACGGTTTATCAGACCCAAGCAATCCACAATGGATAGAGGAGCCTGGGAAGGCTTTCGAATAATATCTGTTTGAGGAAATCGCCTCATTCAGCCATGGTTAGGATCACCATCGTCGTATCGATCTCAATAATAATAATAACTGAAACATTAATCAATTAAATGCTATATATATATAACTGATGCATTAATCGTATTAAAACTATCTCAAGTTTCTAGATTGCCGTTAACGGCTGTCATGGCCATTTACCATACGGAGGTGAGTCCAGTACTGTTGAACCAGTGTGAGGCATCCAATCCCAGGGAAGTTGCTCTCATCGGATATTACATTGCACCCTTGCACATGTAGAAACGATCTTGCCACTCGGGGCGGCGTATTTTTATTTTGTTTTTTGAGTTTTTTGAAGGTGATGGTGGGCATGATTGTGTAGCAGGTAAGAAGCCAATTGTTCTTGCGCCCTAATGCCCTGGGCGTATCGATCCAAGTGAATGGAGAGCGTCCCAATGGCACAGTGTTCCAGAACAAGGTGGC